TACTATCACCTTCACAAAGCAAGCTTTTTTTTTTTACCTATACAGTTTCCTTGTGCTTTAGCTCTGAGTGCATTCAAATGGGTGAAAGTTTCCTTCTGCAAACTCTTGCATCCTAAACCTTTGCAGAAGCTCCACAGACCTGCAAATGAATCGTCAATGCACAACAACAAATCACCTAATCAATTTTACGAACTCTGAAACCGCCATGGAATTTTGAATATTTACTCAAACAAACGCTCCCGTTCACAGAACACTTACAGAGGGTTCTCTCGGTTGCGGCTTAGCTTCTGTTGATTACTCTCCATTACTTCCACTACATTGGCGGTTGCAGGTCCAGCTGATCCACCCGCTACAATCGATGGGACTGATGCGGTTGGGCTCCACATCTTCAGACATATTTTTCACTTGCAAAGGTTAATTTAAGAGATTTTACTTGAAAAAAAAAAGAAGAAAACCCCGACTGCACTTGCTGACCTTTATTGTGTTATCAATTCCACTCGTTGCTACAACGCTATCAAACGGATGGCATTGAATGCAGTTCACAACTAGAAACAAAAGATTAACTTTTTAGCCAACTAATGAAATTCGAGAAATGGATTTATGTAATGGAAAAGGTGAAAAACAAAAACCTGATTCATCGCCAACAAGCACTTTCACAAGCCTCCCTGTCTGTTTCTCCCATATAAACCACCTACCATCATCGCTTCCACTCGCAATATATTCACCTGAAATTTGGCAATGAAATGTTCACAGAAATTCAGTAATGCCATTTTCAACTTTTTTATAGGCTGTTTCCTACCACACTGAAATTGCATTCAGATAACATCAAATTTGCAACCCGAAAAAAACTTACCTCTCTGACCGAGAAAACTGGCTTGCTTAATATCAGTTCCAACGTTACAGTGACCAACATATCTACGCTTCATATCAATGGCTCCCTCTGGCTGTAAATCACCAAGACCCAATGGTGTAGACGGTATTCATCAGTTAATGAAGAGTATGGAAACACAACATGAAAGAAGCCACTAACTCGAAACACATTCAATATGCCATAAAAAGAAGCCAAATACTAACTTGAAACACATTCAATATGCCATAGGAGAAGCCAAATACTAACTTGAAACACGTTTGATATGCTAAATTTGTTTTATTTGGAAATACAATAAAACAGTATCAAAATCTGAAAACCAACCTGATAAGAGGCTCTATCATTTTGAGATGACGATGCAGTTCCCGAGGAGGCATTATCACCAGTGTTTTCCATGGGTTTATCATCACCTACTCTATGAATTCGTAGGTTTAGACTTCCACGCATAGCATTTGAGTCTGGATCTCGTCCCTCGTCATCAGACATGGAAGTTTGAATATCCAACTCCAATTCCTCTTCATAATCAGATTCTTCTCTTTCGGATCTTGACATATCATGTGAACTGTCACTGTTGGCCTCTGATCTATATAATATGTCGCTCAAAGAAAGTACTCTAGCAGTTCCAGTTTCTGTCTCTTCATTTTTTTCAGCTCCAGCTGATTTGTCAATCAAAAGACAAGTACAAGAACATTGAAATGTAAAAAGAAATTTCCTTGGCCATGGAATCATAAAAGCTTTTAAACACATAAATACTCCTTGGGAATGAAAGAATTCCCCAAATCTAAAACAAGAGCTATAGATCTGTTACTGTGGTACACTTTTGAATTAAAAGAACAAACATTAGACACATAATAAAAGAAATTATTAGCTGAACAAACAGTATGAGAAGAAAGAGAAGCCTGTCACGATTCATGGGAAGTGGCAGATGAATATACGAATCCATGCTTACGATTCTTCTCTCATGTTTATGATAAATCTTCCTCATTAATACTAGAAACGAATGGTTATAATTCATCGAAAAGCAAAACAAATCAACTAAAAAGAAACAACTTGAACTCAAAGAGGAAAACAGAAAAAACAGGAAAAATAATTAACAACTAAGCAATTCATCTGCAAGAAAAGACATACATTAGAGTGGTCACAAACCTGCTAGAAGATCCCTTTTAATGCTTTCCACCTTGGCCACTATATCGCCATCTGAAGGGTTCAATTGTTGTGCAGCAGTCGCAAAATCTAGAGCTTCTTTGCATCTTGCCAACTGTGTGAAAGCACAAATGTATAAGAAATGGAAGGCTGACTAAAATAAATGCTTATTGCACGACCATCTCTATGTCAAATTGTAAACTAAAATTTAACAGTCACCAGAGCTATGAATTTACTTGCTGCAACGCTTCAGACATGTAGTAATGAGCTTTAAAAGATGAAGCATCAATTCTCCGAGCATTTTGGCAATCTCTTACGGCCATATGCGCATCGTTCTTCCACTTCCTCTGGAAAATAAAGGTTGCACCAATTGAGGATACAGAGAGGACTAATGTAGAGATTCAAGGTAATTATAGACACCAGTTCTAAAGGACCTTGAGCAACAATGCAGCACGAGTACAAAGGCATTCATGCCTTAGCGCGGACTCAATATCATTAGAATGCGCATCTAGAACTTCATTAGCTGCCTCGATTGCATAGAAAACATCTGTACCCTCTTCTAAAGACCTTTTAGCAATTTCTACCAATTCGGTGCACTTCTTTACCTGAAAATGGATTCAGATGCACTAAGAAAGTGGAATGGCAAGGTCACTTTATGGAACAATTACAAAGGGAGGTGCAAACCGTTGCAGCGTTGCTACTTCGGTAAAAGCCATTTTGAGGAGTGATAGAAACCCGAGGTGGAGATTCTACATCGTGGAGAATGTTACTGAAAGAAAACAAGTTAGCTACATCTCCTGGTGTGTATTGCATGGTTCCAGTGCCTACAAGTAGCAAACAAAGGAAATTATCAACAGATATTGAGCTTAAAACAAATCAGTAAAATGTTTTAAAATTTGCGATTTTTGATGCAAAGAGGAGCTTTCACCAAGATAACTAGCATAACCAAATATTTCTACACTAAGTGATGAAGTAAATATTGGCAGCTCGAAGAGAGAAATGTACATAACAAAAAAGTAAGCAAATCTGGTGGGTCAACACATTCTTCGTTTTTAATCTATTTTTCAAAGGGGTTCACATAATAGCAAAACCATTTGAATCCTCATCAAAAATCAACAACTATCTAAATGATCCATGGATGGTTTTCGTGCAGGAACAAAATTTCTTCGGCGGAACCAAAAGGGGTACGAGAAACGGAAATAAACCAACAAATAAAAATAAAAAAAAACCATTCCAATATGAACATTCATTTCTTTCTCTTAGCTAATACAAATA